TTGGTAACTATATCAGTAGTTAGATGGTCTGTTTTTAAATGGCCAACTAAGAAACGCCTACTTCGTTTTACCAACTTTGCCCAAATAGTGGCAGAAATAACGTCGAAATGGAATATGGGTTTCAACCGTATCATGTACAAGATAAGCTAAAAGAGAAAAATAACCTTTGTTTTCCAAGAGACCGAAGACAGTATTCCAACAGCGCATGTGTTTTTTGAGGATCGTACTGGCGGCTCCATATGGGTCGTAAGGTTGGACCGCAACCTTGAATGTACAAGCCACTCACGCCAGCCCGCCGTTGCTAGCCCCTTTTACGTAGATATATTGACGTTCACTTGTAGCTGGATATGTAGTGCTCGTCACGCGTGTACATTTAACAGATACAACATTTCTCCTGTCAGCGACTCGGCAACAGTGACGGCCATGATTCAAGCAATAATGGGGGCTGTCGCTAGTCCCGTCTTGCTTCTTAGATAGGAATCAATAAGCTCGTTTATATTACTGCTTCTGCTATGATCGGTATCACTATCGTTTTGTTGCTGCTTACGCCACGAGCAATATCATCATTAGCATCACAGGGTTTATCTCTACCTATTTTAATCTCTCTTTCACTGTTTCATCCGGTCGTTCAATACCTCTTTTTTTCTTTTTCTTTGTGAGTAGCATGTGACGTATCTGCTTGGCCTGGCACCACCGTCCGCCCTAGGCGAAGCGCCTGTTGTAGCAAACGGCAAAAAAAGCACCACCGCATCGGTGAAGTCCACGGTAGACAACAAGGAAACATCTAACGAGATAACTGAACTAGGCTTTACATTAAGCGAACTGTGAGAAATGTGTACATGTGTTTATGCGCGTATAGTAAAGTTGAGCAATAACTGTATCAGCAGCGGCGGATAAATATAGCAGGCATATGGAGAAACAGACAGAGAGTATGGGGGCAGAACAAAGGCGCACGCTTCGCGCTAGAAGTTACCATAGTCGTTGTTGTCCTTACCGTCCTCGCTGTCGAATTTAAATGAGAACCGGCGGCGGGCGCTGTTAGTAACTAGGGTAGGCTACTGCATGATGGTAGTGGCTCATAGTCGCATTGGTGTTCAGCAGTGGTCTGAAACTGGCTGGTAGTGGATAGTTGGCTAGCTGAGCGCCGATGTGGTGATAACGGTGTGAGCTGATATGCAGCTGTCGCTGTAGAGGCTGAGCCATGATGGAGACAGCGGCGGTAGCAGCAGATGGCCGCGAACCCAGGGCGCCTGCCAACTAGGCACCATGGGCAGGCCGGGTCGAAGGGCCAAGACCGACAAGGCATTGGTTTGTGTACCCCATGCTTGCCTGCGCGCACTCTCACAGTAGTTCTGGCATTAGTAGTGCTAGTCGTAGTAGTTGCAGTGGTAGTCAGAGCGAGTTAGCTAGGCTCAACAGCAAGCAGACAGACAGATAGAGGGACGGATAGACAGGGAGACAGACGGACGGACGGACGGGCAGACAGACAGACAGACAGACAGGCAAGCAAAGCAGGGTCCGGTGTGAACAAACGACGCAACCAAATGGACGCGCTGGCCAGTCGCTCAGCCAGCGAAGCAGTAGGAGGCCGGACAGCCTTAAGCACACTGCCCACGTTCCTTCAACGCAAAGCGCACACCGTCATAGAAAATGACTAGCTGCTGGGAATTGTTACACCACTACCATTCCCGCAACTACCTACTAAATTCGCTATGGACAGATGGATAAAGATTTAGAGAAGTCCTTACGCTACTGTGCAGCCCAGGTTTGTTTTTACTTGGAGTCGACGCGAGCCAGTAGAAAAGAACGTGATCTCCCTTTCTTGGTACCCGTAACTGAACGGCGATCATAACCGCAAAAAAGTTTCCGGATGTCTGCAAGATGTCGGATACGACATTAAGGGGCAGGAACGAGAAAGAAAAAGATGGTGAATGAGAAGGTTGGCCATTTCGGTGGATAGCAGGGATAACCGATGGAGACATTCTTGGGAAGCCACTTAAAGACTACTATCAACAACAATCGCGACGGCTGAGCGGTCGAACTGAATTAGTGGCTAAAAGAGCGGAGGAACAACGGTGGAGCCTGGTCCAGCGGCAGTAGAAGCAACTTCAGGCCAACAGCATTTGCAGTGCGTCCGTAGGCGACAACGAAGAAGGAGGCGTTGGACGCTGGTGCTGCTGATGCCGTCGACAGCAAGATGATAGTAGTAGGGCCAGTCGGGATGGTCGTCGCCGGCGTTTCTTCCGCTGCCGCTTTCGTTGCCACTACAAAGAGTCGCTGGGAAGCGTGCCAGCCACACGGACTCCTCGCCATCCTCGTCGACCAACCGGCAGCCGAACAGCTGCCTATCTGCCTATAGCCGGCTACCGATGCTAGCTGCTTTGGAAACGGAGCGGGAGAAGCGGGCCGACTGGCAGGCTAGCCAGAAGAGGACGGGCGGGAAAAAAGACATGGGCGAAAACGAGGAAGACCTCTTCCGCACGGCATCTGCCTGCTGCTGCTCTCCTTCTGCTAGTATCCGCAAGCATTGGCAAGCAAGCATGGGAACTTTGCTGGCGGCACAGAACGCCTGCCGTCTGGCGCTCACCGCGAGCCTTCCTCATGGAGAAAACAGCGGCAAATTGCATCCTTCTTCAGATGACTACTACTAGCAGCAGTGGCATGGCTGTAGCCGCAGCCGTCATCGGCGCTGTTGTGTGAAAGGGTCTTCGCGGCGGCAGGGGAGCGCTAGCGGTCGAAGCGCGACGAGGTGCGGATGGGAAAGGAAACGAAGCCTCTGTCTGCCGCCGCGTTGTTCCTCTTTAGGAATGAGAGAACCAAACGAGATGCCGCTGTTGTCGATAGCGAAAAAGAACAACGAAGAAGACGACGACGCTGAAGACAAGGACCAGGAACCCGCTGGTAGCGTAAGCGAAGAGTGCCCCTTCCTTAGTAAGCATACGAGGAAGAGAGAAAGCCGTGGCAAGACGCAGGCAACGTATTTGGATTAGAAAGCGAACGTGAAGGGGACAAGATGAAGACTAGGACCGACGATGGCCCCATCGGGGGAAGGGGTGCAGGAAAGCCTGGTTCTTTCTAAGCAAGTTTCCTCCCAGACTTCCGTCTATCTCACATCTAGGCCTTCAACCATATTGCTTTGCCGTTTCGAACAACGCGTGGAAGATAGACACCTCTTTTCATGCTGGATTGGTGGGACGGACAAATGAACCGTGGAAATGCGGCGTATGGTGCTCGGTGGGCACGGAGTACCGGCTGGCGTGCCAGCACGGCTATTTCTACCTTGTCCGCCAAAGGATACGTGACTTTTCTCGAGCGATTTAACAAGAAAAGCACAGCGGCCGGCAAAAAAACGAATGGAGATACAGCAAATGACAAACGGTAGAAAGAGCGGTAAACAATAACACAGTATTTTGAGGTGCTATGACAGGATCTGCTGAAGAATCAAGTATGTAGGATTATGGTTAATGTCAATTGTAGTGCAAATCTCGCACCCCAGAACAAAAACAAAATAGCGACGCCATACGTGAAGATACGTGTTGTACTACACCTACAATTGAAGCTGTTTTATACATAGTACTTGCTACATTTTTTGTTTCATCATGGCTGTACATAGTCTGTATTTTTAGATCCTAAAAAGCCTTTATTTTTAGATTCTAGATTATAAAGATCCAGACTTTCCAGAAGACAACTTGATACGATTAATGTAAGTGCTCGTTCACTTCGAGTTGTAGTTCTCATCAGTGACGTCGACGGCGACACCGCAGTTCATGCTGACTACCCCTTACCGACGCGACCGACATTCGACATGAAACCGTCTATGCAAACATAAAAAATGCAGCAATGTCCACGTCTTAGAAACAACGCTTACGAGCGAGCAGGTACAGACAGCTGGTGAAAATCCGTGAACGATGCTGAACATCTGCGGGCGCTCGAACCCGTCATGGGTGAACAAGCAAACAAGGGAACTCAGTAGCGGATGTTTCTGGAAGGCTGCGTGGAGAAAGGCTATCTGTGCGTGTCCATGCGTGTCTGTGTATGTTTTCGCGAGCTCGCATCAGCGGGCGGATAGATAGACAATTGAATCAATTCTTATTTGAGTTAGGTACACGATGCAACATGCTCAGCTTTGTCGAGCTGCGGGTCAAACTGTGAGCGAATTTCATCATGGTATGGCTGATCGAGCTTGCATAGCGAGTAAACTCGGTCAAACTTCAATGATATTCAGTCTTCATAAAACGATTGCGTTATATGTTGTGCTTCTAGAGCCTTTTCGGATAAAGGAATAAAATTCGACTCTTATTTGTCTTCAGTGGATCTATAATGATAGAAAGAAACTACTTGAATCTACGTTACCAACAATACCAAACCTCCGATTTAAGTAATCCTACTAAAACAGATAATTTAATTTAAAACAGATCTATTAAAGCGGCCCGACTGCTCTGCACAAACGAGATATTGATTCGGTGAGTTGGGATAGGAGACTATGCCAAAAAATTACTTGCCATTCAATGTCAAAGCCAAGACATGTAAAGGTTCCGAGGCCTTTAAGGTTCCAGCAGATGCCGAGAAAGGATGACAAGTTTAAAAAATACGGATAAATAATGAGCATAAGATGGAAACGCGTCTGACAGAGACTTCAAAATCGAACTTAAGTTTGATCAGAAAAAACATATAAAAATAATAGTATACATGCTATAACATACGAAACGAACGGTAAAAATATAGAAGAAATTAGAAACGCTCCATAATAAGTAAATAGGTTGTTCTTCTATGTAAACGCCGTCAAACGCATCTTGAGTTCAAAAGTTTTGGAAAGAAAGTAATGCCCATTGAAAATAACGGTAAACGACGCTATATGCGATACACCCAACTTCTTTTCGAATTCGAGGTGTGAATCTCCCTGTTCAGTGAGAGACCTAAAATAAGTCCTACTTTTAAAAAATTTCATGGTAACGCCAAAGAGAAAAGGTAATTTATGTAATGAGTAAAAACAAGAAAGATGATGCTGTTACAAGAAAAGAGACTAATGTATTTTCAACATACTTCGAGGGAAATAAAGTCGAGGCAAGTTACCGGTAAACGATCCGACATGCGTGGAGTCAGTAAGCGAGCGGTTATCATATGTGGGCCAAGCGGCTTTGGCACATTGGAAAAGATGGTTGCGCCGGCCCGAAAGTATTAGAACAAGGTTTCGCCAAATTGAGGTTTCATGGTTTTTGGCAAGGACTTGTGTGGCGTGACAAAGGCTGGCCTACACAGCATACAATACGAGCAATTACAGTGAACCATTGTAAAAAAAGACGCGTGACTAGTAAGAGGCGAAACAAATGTAAATGCCATCTATATCAACAAATAAATTCATGGTAGATTTGTATCAAAGGGAAAAAGAGTAGACATTTTCGGTGATGTTTGTGGTAATTGAAAAGACGTATAGTGTGCAAGTGCTACCAAAATGTAGTAGATAACCATAAACAAGAAAGGAAGGATGTACGTGATCCGCCGTGTTAGAAAAAAGAGAATTGTAAGAATGAAATTCTCCCGTAGTCATTGCGGCAGTTTTTACCACTATGTAGAGCAAATGGTGATATAATAAAATGGAAGTGTTTAAATGAAAAGCTCAGATAACAGAGATACTGTAGCGCTCACACGATGGAATTGAACCGGGGGTATCTCAGAGAAGGAGTCAGAAGGAAGCGGCAGCGAAAAAGAGAGAAATTGAAGAGGTAAAAGTGGGGATAAAGGACATGATCAAACAAGGGAAACAAACAAGAATGGTGAGCATCACGAGCACGAGAGACAGCTGAATTGAGGGCATCGTAGGCGGAGATATTTATTGGACTCGAAAGCGAGACGGAGATATTACCGATAGCGAAAACGATATATTGGAAATCCCACTAAGAGCTTAGGCACGCTTGCGGAAGAGTCCTGCTGCGGCATGGACTGGTCGGAGAGCGGCGAAGCCATGGGCAGCTGGAGCCGGCAGGTAAGATGGGGCGATGTACGATGCGCGGGCCTTGACGCGTTGCGAGTCGAACGCAAGGGCAGCCTCGGGTCCGGTCGGAGCGGACGACTGAATGGTCACATCGGCAGGGTTCTTCGACTCTGTCCCGAGTTCGTTAGTGATGACGTCGGCATGAAAGCCGGTCTCGTCAGCCCAATATGACACGGTGCGTTGGCGGCCGTCAGCGAGCGAGATGGTGTACTTGCCGGTGATCCGACCGGATCCATCGGAGCTTTCCTCAGCATTCGACGTTCCTACGAGGACATTCAGTAGAGGTTTTTAAAGTATGTCAGCGAAAAATAGAAGCTCAAGATAAGATGGATTGATCATATGTGATGTCGAGATTTCGAGACATCTTCGAAAAGCGTCAAAGGTAAGGGAGCATGCAGTATCAGTCTGCTGACGTTGTGAGGCTAACAACGGAAACCGTACATTTGGTATTCCGTGATATCTATGCATTAAACCACTAAATTAAAACTAAATCCTCAAAGGTGGCGCAGCAGTAACGCAGAAGTTTACGACTCCTCTGACCTACGTTCAAAAACACGCTTTCTTAGAACATCTGCCGCTCATACCTAAATAATGGACTTACAATGAGACCGGAGTACCCCCGACAGTTACCTGTCTCGTTTGCATGGTTTAAAATGTTCATAATAATTTTTCAAGTAGAAGTAAGCTTTTTTTTTTCTCTGCAGCAATAGCATGACATAGTTTCTGTAATCCCAACATGGAATAAAACATAAAGCATCCAATATAGGTACAACGATTAAGAGCGTGGATGCATCAAATTATAAGCTTCTAAATGTTGTGCTTTAAGATATAATTGGAAACAAAATTCAATTTGAAGTAAAAATATTCGAAAACAAATAATTAAGATGAAGCCAACGGTTTTTGAGCCGTTCGCTAACTAGAATATATCAACCAATAACACAAAAAAAAACCTAATCAGCTGGTTCCTATCAGGTGTATGTATCTTGTACAGGTATCACAACACCTTATCGAATATTGCTTATTGTTGAATTATACTCCTAAACGAAAAGGACGCACTTTATGAACACAGCACAACCCATCACAACTATGCATAGCATTTACACAAAATATATCTGTAATATACAATATGAAAATCCATTGTGACACATCTTGGCACACTGAAACGTTGAGATCACCATTTTCGCTACTGAAAGCGATTGATCTCCCACTAATTACTAACCCTCAGCGTCCTGCGTCGAATATACGTATTGATAGGGTTGAGGAGGTCCGTACGCCTCTTGTTGAGCGTACTTTTGTCCTGCTACAGAAGCCACAAATAAGGCCACAACGGCTGTAAGCATACGCATCTTTACGGTCCTGTATGAGGCTGAAACGGCAGGAAAAATCGAGTCGGTTGTTTTTATTCACTTTGAGGACGCACAGTCAATTCTGTGCCGACTTCTGGCCCGCGGTGGTTCTTATATTGTGCAGCAGCTGCTGCTGCTGCTGTTGCTTTGATAGCGCTGGGCCCCAGACGGATCCAACTCTTCCCTCGCGGCTGTCGGAACGAGCTGTCGTAGGTGGTATCGAGAACCAGTCGTCAGGTGCCTGTGTGCAATGGCACCAATGTGCACGGCAGAAAACGGATGGACGGATCAGTCCGGCTGTAGGTATTGTCTTGACAGCTGGACATTAGCAATGGCTGGGCAAACGAAGGGAAGGTAAACGAAGAGGGCAAGATGACGTTCGCGGGAATAGACTGGAAGAGAAAGATAACTGTGGTAAATAGGCGGTATTGTGTGCCGTATGCGGACAGTCGTTACGGGAGCAAATCATGGGTCAAGCGGTAACTTAATGATGGACCATTCTCGGCTAATCGAACGACCCAACACTAGCAATAGCACTAACAGTAATATTAACAACAGCAACGAAGAACACCGTAAGTACAACTGAAAAAAACAAAGCGGTTTTGTGCGTAAGAAGAACATCTATGTCTGCTTAGATACAAGGTGATAATTTTTTCTGTCATTATTCTATGTACTAGTCAGAAAGATAAAGGGAAGTCGTAGCGATGGTAACTTTAGATACGCTTCGCTTGCATTGTTGGCCCAAATGGGGAGACGCTAATAACGTCTATCCGCTATTTACATTTCGCTTCATACAAGTAGTACTAATAGTAAAACATTTCAGGAAGACTGTAGCTAATCTATTCGCTATTGAAATGCATGACTAATCCATAGAATTTAATGGTTGCTTCAAAACTCCAAGCAGAACAGCTTAACGACAACACATGTATAGATATTCGTGCGGATAGAAATCGGCGTACGTCGGTCAATCGGACGACCAAACTTGTCAAGGATAGACGTCAATACACCCTCGAGCTAGAATTCCAAGCAACGGCCTGAAACACATACATCGTCATAGGCTAAAGCTGACGCCTTTTTGCAGATATGGTCTTCAAGCGAACTCCACTATCCACACTATACCTGTACCATTAGTCTTTTCGTTAATACGCACTACTTTGTTACCACTGCTGTTCTCCCCTGTGTTTCTGTTACTTTACGCAGTAGACGTAATACACCTTGGACTTATCCGAAATAGCGAAATAAGGGGAAAAATTAAGTGATTTCCAAAGCTACGAATCTCACGTTTACAGAGACACCGAGTCAAAAGGATAATTCATTCATTTTCAAGTTATCATACGTTATAAGCTAGTGTAGATACTTTGAAAAGGAATAACGTGTCTCTATTGGCGGCATTGGCAGATATCTGTGTGTCGGCGCTTGATTACATCGCTAATATTGCTCAAAATATGCTTTGAGGTTGATGAAGGAAGTTTTAGTAATGAAAGATACAAACAAAAATTTAGCGGAAACGTTTTTTCAATACATCATGTTCTCAGTTTGTCGCTCGCTAATCAAGTATGCTTGCTCTACGTACATTGTTCCTTCGGCTTGCCCGAATCGCAGAATTATACCTCACGCTGCTATTCTAAAGTAAAAACGCCAATTTTGACGTTTCGCAGAGCAAAGACGTACCTAAGGTTCCTGTGTGAATGAATAAAGACATGTATGACATAAAGAAGTATGAAGTCGAGCTGAGCAAATATAAACAACAAAAACGCTAAAAAAAAGCAAAAATTAAACACGAAAGATATATCGACTATAATAATTGGCAGTTATTGAGAGGAACCGCGAAAGACATCCTGCTGTGAAGCCTGCTGCTCCTAACAACATAGCTACTATAGCCATAGCGAACTAACTACCAAATAGCGACATAAATAAGCAAGATAATCTGCAACGATTCGGAGCGATGAATAGTCACTACTGCATTTCGAAATACTGCATGGTCATTAAAGATAAAAACTTAGCCAAAAATAGCTCATAAACGTATTTTTTCAATAAATAATCAACAATTAAACTACGATTAATCATGTTTCAGGTTCAGCGCTTATCACATCAATGTGAGCTTCAATTCTTTCTAACTTACCTTCACAAGTAACTCACCTTCGCAACTACAAGAGCAAGAAGTAGCCGAATGCTGTTGAAGTTCTTGAAAATGAACTCGCTAAATAGCTATTACTAACACAATTGAAGGGCATACATTACATGGAAGGTGAGGTTATCTCACAGTCGAAAGATTACAGCCGAGTGTGATGGTATAACGAACTTAATAACATTTACACACAATACGAATTCAGGCTAGCCACAAGAATATAACTTTCATCTGAAAACTCTTCGAGCCGTTGTCGACCTCGATTCAGTAAAATATAGCGCGGTCCATTGACACATTTTGCTAACAAAAAGGCTCTCGTTTCGATTGGGTGGCAATTGGCAATCGTTTACTCACGACTAGATGCCCCTGCTTGGTCAATTTGACAGAGTATTCTAACAATGAATTTTCATGCCATCCGACGTATGTTATTTACTTTTATCCTATTTATTATTATTTTAGATTTTCGAAACTTAATCTGTAATCATACGGCATCGTAATAAAATTAAATAGCTAGATATTTTGTACAAAGCATACGTTGGAAAATTTGTAAAAAAAAACAAAGACATAGCTGTCGAGTAGAGCTTTCTGCCTATACATTATCTATATGATTGAATCAAGTATGCTTGCTCTACGTACGCAGAGCTACGTATGAACGTGTTTTGATGGATTTGACTACCCTGATCGTCTAATGGCATAAAAACAAATCGTTGAGACACACGCCTATTCAACCTAGCTTCGAGGTTAAATATTATATCAAACGGGGTGAAAAGCGAAATATAATGCTAACATGGATGGAGCTTGTCCAAACTTAGAAGGGCTTACTACATGTCTGCTACGCAGAGTGATACAGCCTTCTATTCTATGTAATAGAAAAATGTACACGTAACACAAATTAAATGGAATTGGAGAATCCTTCGATCCTATTCAATTTTCTGTTACGTATACATACAAAGGATTTCAAGCACACATAAGATTTAAAAGGTCAGTTACAGTCAAAAACGATGTAAAATAGGCCACGTAATAGCAACCGATTCAAAGGTCAGTTACAGTCAAAAACGATGTAAAATAGGCCACGTAATAGCAACCGATTCAAAGGTCAGTTACGGTCAAAAAACGATCTGAAATAGGCCACGTATTCGATTGTATCGGTCAGTTGTAGACGGGTCCTTCCACCTTCCACCCAAAACGCGGTCACCGACTGCAACAGGTCCACCAGTAGTAAAGCACCGAAGGTTGAAGACCGTTTAGCGGTAATGTCGATGTTTCTCTTGAATGTTTCCGTCCACAGTTAACATGCCTTGACGAAGAGGCGGACGGATGAAAAGCAAAAGGTGGCCTAAGAACAACAATCCTTAGCCATAAACATTGGATTGGCCATATACAGTAGGTGTTATCTATAAATGTCACACTTCGAGTTAACCTAAGCATGATAGGTCGAACTGATCACTACTACCATTAAACCATACCCACGATGAGCTCCACGCACACGGAAATAAGTCTCCTGATATTTGATTATGTTAGTTCAATTTGACAGGTTGAAGGAAGGGAAGCAGATTCGACCTATGTCCTTAGTCGGGTGATAATAAGGATTACCTAAATAACACGCATTTAGACTTTCGAATAAGTAGTTAGTTTTCTCGGCATCTTTGCATCAGTCTAATTGATTTTGCTCTGCTAACGCGTACTTTCCATGAACATGAGATAACATGAAAAAATGACTATAACAACAGATATTTAGTATATTTTTTCTTAAGCTAAAAATATTTTTTTGGTCAAACGTTTCTTTGTCTCTCCGTTGATCGCCACTCGGACCATAAGCTGGATCTTCTTAATCCCTAGGTACGCTTCGTGCCGCAAGTCTTTTTCACGCCGATACTCTGAAAGTGGTTTGTGCGTCACCTCACCCAGCCATTCATTTATCTCCCATATAATTGATTTAAATCGTATAACAGTTGTTGTTAAGCGTTCATTATCCAGCCAGCTAAGGACAACCTTGAAATAAGGAGTCAAGTCATCGCTGCCGAGTCTTTACTACCTTCCATTTTCGCCACAACAAACTGTCCACAAACAATACAGAATATAGCGATTTACGAAACATATCCAAATATAAACATAGATATACGTATAGATGCAAATGTAAGACAAATGAATAGACGGAATGATTAATCAAAATGGGCAGGCGAGACAAAAGCACTGCAGAGCAGGTGAAGCTGATGACCACGACCGCGATGATCATATCTGTTGTGCTCACTGAGAGCTCAGATAGAATTAGAGCCAGCGCACGGAACACTAGGGTAACACGGCACAATAGTATAGTCGTCTTCTTGCTTATGACGATGCTACGTGTATTGCTGGTGATGTGTTTATTTGGTTCGTTGGGCCACTTCGTCATCGTTTTGGGCCCCCCAAACCCCGTCTACTGGTCTACTACCGTGGTACCGCATCCCATTAATGACCCATTTCTTGTAGGGATTTACGAGTACCTGCTGGTCAGTTGATTTACTTGACGGGTCGGTCGCTAAGTAGAAACGATGGCCGAAGATCGTAGAAAAATGGAAAAGAGATAATGAACAAAAAATACGAATAATAGTACAGAGCAGTAAAAAAAGATATTAACAGAGATATTGCCAACGGTATATTTCTACACTAACCTGATTTACATGTGTCCACGTACAAGGTACAAGGTTTCGCTCAATGTAAACTTTGCCCCCACCCCCAACTATGTTTGTATTCCACCATTTCAGATAGACTGAGTAGCGACCTTGAAGCGAAATCCCGGAACGGGGTCAACACATTGTGACAACATACAATTGATCCCCTTAATTAGTTACGAATTGTTCGCTCGTTCTACTTTGTACCCAAGAGCTAAATCACATGATATGATAGAATTGAAATAACTGTTATTTTCGAGAAAGGAGGGAACATAAAATTAGTACAATTTATAAAGTTCAATTTTTGGCATCTGACGTCTGCTAGACAGATCGCGGCCCTACTTTCGTCGTAATTAGATCTTGTTGCATCATACAC